TCAATACAGCCCATCTGAGCTCTTTAAAAAGAGACACACGCTCTAGTGTGTGAGTGTGTGCACGCGTGGCTTTATGGGTGTACATTTAGGACTGTTTGTGATGAGCCCACTGCAGTATGACCCTCTTGAGAGTATTTATGGAGAAGATGATTACTGTGGAAGGAACAGAACTTTGATGAAAATCATCCCACTTCAATTTGTACCTCACAGGCCTGCAGTTGGTGTCCCCGTTTATAGATAACATTGTAAAGGTCCACAACTGCACTTGAGAAACAGAATGCACTCATAAAGAAATCATGTCCTCCTGCCTTTGATTGCTGTTCTGTAACTGTGTTTGAACAACTTTATCTCTAGAAAATAGTAAATGGTGTTGCTGATTCCTACCTGCAGGGATGCATCCAAACACTGCAGCTTGGTAGGTCCCAAGAAGTGCAGTTAAGAGACTCCTGGTCAAGAGACTGAAATGACTTCCATGTCCATTTCTGATATTTCCGGACGCAGTGCCTTCTAGCTTTTATTAATCTCTCAGAAGCCAGACTCATAACAGAGCGAAGACTAGACGTGAGGAAGTAGTTTCCATTTGAAGCCACATTTATAAACAATCATGGACTAATGTAGCTTTGATGGTGGTCGGTTGTGTACCTCTGTGAAATACTGAGATCCATTATCGTTTTACATCATAGCTGCACATGTAGTCAAAGTAATATAAGTTGTTGAATATTTCCAGTTCACTCTTTCCCTTTTCTTGCGCACTGTTGTTACAGAACATTTTAATGTTCATATTTTCCTGTGCTGCAAGCGCCTGATGGATTTCTCATATGCTGCAAAGCTGCACATGTGTAGCCCTTAACGTTTGTTTTCCTTTTCATGTGCTTTTTTTCTTTCTTTGTCCAACTGTGTAGCTTTTATTGATTATTTTGGTCCTCCTTTTAGCTGTTGTGTACCTGATATCATAAAATAGGATTTTGCGATCTGTTAACATTAGCATGATATTGTTTCTATCAAAGGATACCATTATTTAATTAAATTGAGGATAACTGTTGAAAGCCAATTAGGTAGAAAATCTTCTGCTTCCACTTATTACACTGAGCTCTGGAGCATCAGTCGACTAATTTACCATCAGCTTTTTCATGGAATTATCGTTATAATATCAGCCTAAAAATTCACTTTGGTTTGGCCATTAAAATCAATCAGCTGCAGCTGTTGAGCCTCATTTAATCTGTTCTAACACTGGCTGGCCAACACAGAAGCCTCGAAATCCGCTTTTGAAAATAAATGCTGGAAGCATTGCAGGAATCTCTGAATGCATGCTTTGCTAGTAAATAAAGAACAACTTTAACTACTGGGTTAGTCTACCGGCAAACACCTACATTCAAAATCGAAAAAAAAGAACGAAGAGACTAAAGCAAGATATGAAAACTTTGTTGTTTGTTGGTAGTTTTAGATTTGTTGTCGATAAAATGAGGCGACAGAGGTCTGAAGCAGATCTGTGGTCTGTTCCTGATTTTGCATTTGATGGAGTCAAACGAGCCGTATGATAGACCGTATTGACCAACTTAAACGCCCTTATTGGATGAGAAGTGGCCCGGAGGTGCTGTCCCAGCGTTTTGAACAACAGACCAACCAGACGAAAACCACACACTCATGTAAAGCACCAACTCTTTTCGCTTCCACAGCACTCTGAACAATTACCCCGCAGCTCTTTAAAGCACACACACAAAGACTATCTTTACGACTGCAGCATTTCCACCATTCTAGCTCGCTGTTATTTTTTTTTTTCCCCTGCTTTTCTTACCTCCTTCACCCAGAGACCATTAAACTAGATCCCTCCTAAAAGGCTGTAAGGCCTCTCTTTGGCTAGCCACTTCTCCAAAAGCCATCCCATCACTCTTTTCATGTTTTTAAATCAAAGTCCATGAAAGGTTGAGAGAGAAGGGAGAGAGAGAAAAGGAGGAGGGGGTAAAGCAGACTGAAAGTTGGGACGGGTTTTTTGTGTTTGTGGGCTGGAGACAAATCTTAGTTACAGAACCATGTGGCCTTTTGCACGTACACACCGACACTGCCACGTGCACAAACTTAATTTGATATGGAACATGCTCTCCTGGCCGGTTCTGCTCTGCTGGGATTTTACTTTTTTTCTCCTCTGTCTCCCTCCTCACCTGCTGGGAGTTACTCTAGATGTTTAACTTGCTCTTTTTCTGTTATTTTTTTTCTATTTTCTCTTCTGCTTCCAGACACTCAGCTGCACCCACTTTCCTGCAGCACAAACACTAGTGTAAAACAAAGTCTGGAGGTTCGGTGTGTATTAATTCCTTTGCCTCCCTCACACAAGGTTTTGATTTTGCTGGTGTTCAGTCTTTTCGATTTGGTTGGTAGTCAACCTGAAAATGTTTTCCTTGATGATTTTTTGGCAGAAGCCATGTTAGGGGAACTCTGGCCAGCTTTCTTCACCTGCCAGCTGTTCAGCTCAAGGTTGCTTTTTTTTAAGTTTCAGACCTAAAACAGCATTCATTTTACAGTATATTCCTGGATTCCCAACTTACTCTGAAAGCCCAGTTCCACAATCGTGACTGTCTTAAAACAGGAGATCTCTTCTGACTGCAGTAAGTGGTGATGGGCAGTGTGACGGGTCCTAAAACACGTTTCATCCAGGTATTGATTGTTTAAAAAGCAGCATTTTGTTGAATCTTGAAGCACTAGGTACTGGAAATCTACACATATCCCTTAATCTCACATATCCCTTACTCTGCTTTGTAAGTTATCTTACAAAGCAGAAAAACCTTGAGAAAGCTCCTTAATTGCTGTAATGCCAGTAAAGGTTTTTCATTTGTCTAGCATATATTTTTACATGACTTTGCCTAACAAAAATGTTAATAAATGCAAATAAATTATATGTATATTTTATAGCTTTATACATCTCTCCGTTGGTATTTTTACAATTTAAATTTAATGATGACCTCCAAGTGTTTGAGGCTGGTATATTACTTCCAGTCAAAAAGAAATGTAAAGCTTGTGGTAGTTAATAAGTTTGGACAGAATGAAGATATGTGCACAACTTATTTGCACTGTTGCAGCTAATCAACTTTTTAAAAAAATATATATATTCTTGCTAAAATGTTAATGAATGTTGTTTTGGGACTTATTTAAAAGTTAGATATTTATCTGTATGTGCTGTCCTCATCTCTTTGTTCAGTTTTCAATTATTACCTCACAACCTATTCTTCATGTCTCTTATAACTGCTAATACTTTGCACTCACACTCCTTTATGAGGCATTTTGCTCTCTGGAAGCACTTTGGCTCCTTGCAGATAAGGTGAGAAACAAAGCTTTGAGCTTCATAGGAGGTGTTTTACCCTGATAAGCCATCCTGTGACTTGGTGAAAGATAAATGGAAACCTTGTTCTTTCTTTTTGTGATTTCTCTCTACCTTGCTGTCTCCCAGGGTTTTTCATCTTCCTCTGCCTCGACTCAGTAACCTTTAAGGTAGTCCAGGAGGGGGGTAGTGGGCAGCGATACAGGAAGAAAGAAAAATGAAGAATGAGCAAACATTAGAAAGAGAAAAGGAGTGTAAAGGTTTGAAGTCAGGAGAACCAAAAGAAGACAGAGGAATTATGGACAAGTAGTAAGGACTAGCTTGTTCATTTTGAGGTTCCTGCTATTTGGAAAAAGCTGAAACCAAATATTTATGAAGGATCTCTTTACAAGTAAATGTGATTGTATAATCTTTCTTTAGAAAAGCTCTTAAAGAAATTAACCTGATGTGAAAGCGATGAGCTTGAAACAAAGTTTTTTTTTTTTTTTTTTTAGGGACATCTTAGCAGAATGTCTTTTTGTCTTCCTTTCCGAAACTTTTATGTCAGCAAAAATGAACCCAACAAAAAACAGCTATCATTGTCTGTCACAATAAAGTCACCAGAAGCTGGTTAAAATGTTCATCTTCCTTATGGATCTCTGATCCGTTATTAGCATTTAGTTTACAGACAGTGAAATATCATAAGCTAATGTCCGTGCTTGCTTTTCTTTTTACTTCTCCCTCTTTCTATGTGTCTTTGTGTGAGGTAAATAAAAATGTAAAAATCGATTTAGCTTAAGTCTGTGGGTGGGAAGCTACTAGTTACTCACTCATCAAACATGCAGGATTACAACAATTCGCCCAATAAGCAACACAAGATTAATGTTAATGTTACTTAAAAACAACACACTCTTTCTTTAATTTATAAAAGAAAGAGTGTGTTTTGCAAGTGCCAGTGGAAGCTCTTTCTATTTATTGCCCTCATGAACAGAAACGACTGTTGCCGCTCAACCCCTTTGACCTCCTTTCTGCTTTTTGCTCCTTCATAACACAGGAAGATGTTTGGTGGTGAGTGTTTTCAGTCGTTGCCTGCTGTGCCTTTTAAACCACATCAGTTGCTCTGCTTTTACTTCTCGGAAAAACTGTTATGATTACTCAGTCACTAAAGAAACGGCTGTAAACATTATGATGTCCCTTATAATGTTAATATAAAACGGTCATTTGGTATCCACCCTGCATCAGTTTCTCACTCATCACAGGGGCATTGATGTTTCATACCCACTTTTAAACTGATGATTTAAACCAGCTTTCTGTATTTAAGTCATGAAATGTGTTTATATGAATGACATTAATAATATCTACTTGCACTGGCTCAGTAGCTCAGTTATTCTGGTTTGATCAGAGACAATGATCCATCACCAGAAGACAGGACTGGTTCAAACGTGGATCAGAACCACAATCAATTGGGACTGTGGAGTAATATAAAGTCTTGAACAAAATAACTTGAGATTTTATTACAGTTTCCATCTCCATATTTTATGAAAAATCAACGGATTTGCCATTTTTGCTGTCTTGTGTCAGTTCTATCGAGCTGAATGCAGTGAAGAAGGTGCTTTGAAGACATAACCCAAAGTTAAAGTGTTTCATAGTGCTGAAACTAAACTAAACCATTTTTCTTCCTTTCCCTCTTGTCTTTCCTGTTGTCCAGGTGACTGATCAGTCTGTGCGGTCGGTAGCTGAGCACTGTCCCGAGCTGCAGTTTGTCGGCTTCATGGGATGCCCCGTCACCTCTCAGGGTGTCATCCATCTCACTGCGGTGAGTATCAAACCAATTCTTCACTTGGATTATCATAGTAATATTAAATTATCAGTGGATAATTTACTGTAGTTAAGAACTCCATTTGTGTGTTTACTTATAAGTTGAAGATAACATACTTCCCGCTGTCCTAGTTGAAGATAAACTCCCTTGTTTCTTTGTAATTACTTGTTTCAGTAAATGTCGCCAAAAGTTCGTTTTTTGCTGTCTAATCGGCTTACTCCAGGCCAGCTCCGAGACGTTGCTGCAGGTTGTCTCCAGGGGGTATATTTAACTTTTATGAAATGAATTCAGGCACGCACTCTGTTTTTATCTCTGACTTAGTTTTCAAGTTATTTTGTGTTAACTTTTAAATCTCATGAAAGCTTAATGAGATGAATCCTAATAATACGCCGCTGTTGCGACTACACCCCGCTGTTTGGATATTACCATGCTAATGAGCAGTGCTCCGTGCTTAAAGCTGTTCCATGCCATATAACGTAAACGCGGACACACGCGTATGCGTTCGTGTTATAATTGCTTGAAGTAAATTCACAGGAAAATCCCTCACCTTGTTTTCCTTGCCATTTATTTCCTTTTCCCAACATGGCATCTGTCTGGAGTGCGTGCAGCTACAGAGTGCATCTGTGTGTGCTATGTCCACACCCATGTGTCCTTCTGTAATACAATTCGATTTGTGTTTGATGTACTTGGGTGTACACTTGAGTGTGCACACACCTCAGTGGACCTGCATGCTCCCGTTTCTCCTCAAATGCAATTACAGTTGTGTTAATAGGACTGAGGCACCCGATGCCGCGCTGCATTATTAGATTAAACAGCAGATTAATTTGTGCTCATAGTTTTGGCCCCTATCATCTCTGCAGCCTCCGCTGACCTTGGCCATGGTGTTGTAGACAGACAGTAATGAAGCCAGCCAGTCATAACAGCATTAGCATACGTGGAGGTGGACGCAGGGACCTTTGCACACACAAACACACACCTACAGAGGAGCGCGCTCATTATTATTTATGGAAGTATTAACCAAGGTGAACATTTAGGAGTTCAGAAGAAGAAGTTCATAATTCTGCTAATATTTATAGATTTTTTTTTTCCAGCATTCAGAGCCACGAGCTTAGTGGATCGTATCGTTCGTTTGGACTTGTTCCTACCAAATGCACTGACCTTGAACTTCCTAAAATCCCATTACAGTCCAGACTGTTATTTACAGTATGTGCAAAATACCCAGAGGACGTATCAGAAAAATAAGAAGTTGTCTGGTTTGTCTTTGAAATTATTCTAGAAATTTTCTACTGTTCAGAAGCAGGGAATTTTAATATAGTAATGTGTTTGTCATCATAATCCACTATTTTTTCAAAATGTTTTTGAAAATGTCTAATTAAACATTTTTCATAAATTAATTCCATTACATTTGATGTGTCCAAAAATTAAATGGCTATCTTGCACAAAAAAAAAATATAAGGAAATATATTTTTAAAAACAGTTACAAACTGAACACATAATTCTCTTTAACATTTTGGGAAATTGTAGCTTACAAGTAAATTATTTTATTTACTCAACTAACAATATACAAGTATATGGAATCTGTTTGCATTTTTAGCACAATTAAGTTTAAGTAGAGGCATAAAATGATGCACTTTGTTTACACTCAGTCTCTTTTCAGTGTTGTAAAAATGTTCAAATACTAATCGCCCCATGTGCTGTTAAAACGCCACATTTGTCTTATTGACTTATAAAGCCTTCCTTTATTATTGCTAACATAATTATCTGTCCCTCAGTAAATGATCAGATTAGTTTATTACTCAGATCTTCAGCAGCCTGAAAAATTACAATGTCTGAATTAATCAAGTTGTCTAAATTAGTTTATTAGTTTATATTTTTTCTATCACATTCAATATTTTAACATTAAAGCATCTCATCATCTGGTGACTTCTTAAATGTTGAGCATTTTAAAGAAGAATAAACTATATTCATTGGCATTTAAAAGAGCTTTTCCCACAGCTTTGATAAATACATATCTTTTATTTTAAAGTATGTTGTACTTAAAAAAAAAGTACATTTAGAAGAGCCATTTATTTGTCTTCGGATACAAATTAAAAGATTTTACTGCATTTCATCATTATTACTTGTAAGGCAGAGGTTGTTTGATTGTGTTCTACCTAACCTGCTCACAAAAAATGATGTACAGGGTTTTAGTGTTTTTCTTGTCAGTCTTCTTTCCTCCAACATTTGGTCTTATCTAAACTTCTTATAGTTCACCCAAAACACACTGAGGTTTTTTTTTATTTTATTTTATAATAACTCTCACTCTCTCCACATGTCTCATAAATCTCTAGGCTAGGTATTGGGCTACTTTTAGCTAGCTTTTTTTTTCTCTCTCTGTTTTGATATACCTAGTTGATAAGTCTGCTCATGTATTTTCCCTGCTGTCTCAGTGAACAGTTTGCAGATGAATCTTACAGAAAGAGTAGGCCTACTGTTTCAAAACACTTATAAACAAAACACTTGGCTTCGGACATCACAGTTATTAATGACGAGTGGTTCAGCAGCGTGCTGAGCTGCGTTCAGGTCTCATTCGCACGGTTTTCTGTTGAGCCTCAGGTGATTTGCTGTTTGGTCAGGATTCAGATTTGAGTCCAGACTTTGAGGATATTTGCCTCAGGCCATTATTTTTTGACTACGAGGAGCAAAGAGCGGCGATTTGCACGTGTGTAAGATCTTTTTTGAGAATGTTGGCTTTAAATGGCAAAGAAGATAAAGACAGAAAATGCTAAGCTATGAAGAGTAGCTGTCAATATTTAACAAGTGAGTTTCTCTCTAAAAGGGAAAAGATTTTATTTGGAGGACGTTCAAAAGTAAATAACGAGCCATTACGTATTTCTGTTTTTGTATAGCCACATTTCCACTTTCATCAAACATTTATTGAAATATTTAAAGTTTTATGTAGTTTTCCAAACAGTTTAATATTTGTTTCATTATTAGCTCGAAATGGCAGTATAGCTAGTTCATCCCTTCATAACATTTTCCAAATGGATCTGTCTTTTCTGACAACAGTCAATTCATTTTATTTCTTAATTTCTTTTCTCATTTACTAAAGGGACCCCAGACACATTGCTTTTAGACTGAATCCATTGAGAGAAGCTATCTATTATTTTTTTTTCCAGAGAGCATTTAAAATGTAAGCACAGATAAGTTCATAAGTTCAGTCTCCTGTTGTAATCACTTTTCTTTCTGTTATCCATCTCTCTGCCTACATCTCAGTCATTCCACCTCCTCCTTTTTCCATCTCTCTATAATCTCTGACAGCAATTATCTTGTTTGAGAGTTGATTCCTCCTCTCATTGATTCCCACCTGGTCCCATCATCTGTCAATTTAAAAATCATATTCTTGGTTTTAGAAATCGTTGCATTTCTGATGACTCCACGGACCTCCGTGTGGTTCCAGGACTGTGGCGCTCCTCTCTTGTTCGATTATTGTGCTCTCCCTCCCTTCTTCTTTTCCTGGCTGATCACACTCTCTCTGATAATCTTCCCAACTAGCTCAGTTTCTACTTCTGATATATATGTATATAAAAAAGGTGGAGGAAACCATCTACTTTTATTTATTCTCTCCTCTAACACCTTGTTTTTCTTATATTGATTTGTCCCGAGTCAGGATATGAAGAAATCAATTACAATTGTATTTTCTAAATAGAAAGAGCTGGAGGTAGAAATTGGCGACATGTTGTGACACGTTCGATGCAGTCTGCATGGTTATGCCGTCTGTTTTACAGTGTCTCCTCTGTCTCTGTTGAGGATCACAACTCACTGTTTGTGCTCATAAATCATCTTCTGCTTTGTAACTAAAAGACAAAACAATGTTTTCTCTCTGCCCAGCAAATAAACACTTCCTGTACTAGTTGTTAATTAGTATGGGAAGAGAAACTGATGATTTTAAGGGCAAGTGTTTGTGGCCGCCAGGATCTTACTGTAAACTTTTGTTTACGGTTGGTTTTTAGATTGAAGCTCAATGTTGGCTCTGAGCTTTCGACATAAATAACATTTTTATTGATGAGGTCTGTTATTTCCCAAGGCTGTGTTATTGATGGAAAACATCTTGAAGGGGGGCTCTGTGGTTGTCCTAGAAGCTTTAGTGATTTGGCGCTAGGTCTCAGCAGGTAATTTGAGAGAATATGTATACTGTAATATACAGTACAAGTGTTTACAGTGGCTACCACGCTAAAAATGTGGAGAAATGCGCCTTCAAATAAATATAACTTTTATTGCGGTAGCAGGATCTCATACTGAAAAAAATAGGAGAAATTGTTGGATGGTGTTAGAAATAAAAATATCAGCATAGGCCCAGTGCCACAATTGTTGACACCCCAAACATTTGCTGTAGTTTTTGGTAATTATTTGCTTTTGCTAAGGTTACATAGAACTAGTGGAGGCCTTTATTCATTGGTATTTATACATGGAAAAGGGCAGGGAGTTTAACCCTGGACCTACATGGAGGATTGTAGCCTCCATATGCGGTGTGCCTGATCCACTGCTGAACCACATGGCACCCCATCAGTTACTTTTTAAGTTATTAGTGTGCCTGGAACACATTAATTGGTAATCATTGACTACCTGTTTCTCTAAGATACAAGTATGATGTGACTGAAAGACGCACAGATGACCACTGGCTCCACTGAAGTTTTGGCTTTCCACAGCTTCATTGTTTCCTCTTTGAGCTCTTGAGTTTTTTTTTTTCTCAAGCTTCTGGTATTTAAACGTATTTAAACTTCTTGATGTTGCTGTTGCTATCACTTCTGCTCTCCTAGTCATCACAAATGTATCCGTCTGGATCTGGAAGTCCCACATCCTCATCATCCTCTGCTACTCTTGGTGGTGTCTCCTACCTTGGGACCACCAGTCTATACCTAGCACAGGTTTTTTGTTTCTCAGTCATGTTATGGTGTTTCCATATAGTTCTACCAAGATCTTTCATCCAGTTTTGTGTTGGACTGTTTCAGTGGCAT